CATCATCATCCTAAATGTTATCATAATCATTACCGCTACAACCAAAGTCATCTCCTTAAAAGATAAAAAAAATCATGCTTTAACATATTTATCGCGTCTTTTTAATAATAAATAAAAAAAATGATACAAATGACAATCTCCTACCTGACATCAACCAATTTCAAATTCAAAAATAATGCCGTGACGTAGCAGAGCATGTCATTGACGTCACGATAGGCAACAGCAGACGAACTGGAAGCGTGTGTGACGATTTATATGGTGTGATGTCGTGCTAAACAGTGCGGGACTGTCTTTTGATTTTTTCAACCCTTTTCTTTCTCTCCTTTCCTTCTCTCTCTCTCTCTCTCTCTCTCTTTCTCTTTCTCTTTCTCTCCTCCTCCTCCTCCTCCTCCTACTCCTCCTCCTCCTCTTCCTCCTCTCTCTCCATCTCCCTCTCCCTCTCCCTCTCCCCCCCCCCCTCTCTCTCTCTCTCTCTCTCTCTCTCTCTCTCTCTCTCTCTCTCTCTCTCTCTCTCTCTCTCTCTCTCTCTCTCTCTCTCTCTCTCTCGCTCAGATAATTGTCTTACATGCAAAGTTGACGAAAAAGGAGGGAAGATGAGTTGCGAGAAGAATAAGTAGGGTAAGGTGTGTGTGTGTGTGTGTGTGTGTGTGTGTGTGTGTGTGTGTGTGTGTGTGTGTGTGTGTGTGTGTATGTGTGTTTGTGTGTGTGTGTGTGTGTGTGTGTGTGTGTGTATGTGTGTGTGTGTGTGTGTGTGTGTGCGTGTATGTGTGTGTGTGTGTGTGCACAAACCGGACAAAAAAATCCTTCCAAAAAGTTCAAACCCCTCCTCCAGGCGCCATTCTTTGTATAAATATGGGGGGCTTTTCTCTCTCACATTTTTTTTCACTTTTCTTTTCTCGCGGGGTTGTTTTGGTGATGATGACTTAGGTTGGAAGTGGGTTGCTGGTCCAGTCACGCCTGTGGTCTTCTGTAAAGCAGTTTAGACTCGGGAATTTATGTGCGCCGCGAAACTCAGGCGGTAATGGCGGGAAAGGAAAGTCGTTGCTTTCTGTTCCAGTGGTTTTCTATTTTATTGGCTTTCCCGTTTATTTATTCATTTATTTTATTTATTTATTTTTTATTTATTTTTTATTATTTTTTTTATTTATATATTTTTTATTTTTTATTTATTTTTCTTTTTGTTTTGCTTTACTTTTCTTGCTTAGTTTTCTTTTTGTCTCTCTGGCTCTGTCTGCCTCCCTCTCCCTCTCCCTCTCCTTCTCCCTCTCCCTTTCTCTCTCTTGCTACAGCTCCTTTCTCACCCCCTCTCCATCCCCCTCCCCCCCGCCTCCCCCTTTCTTTTCTTTCCCCCTCCCCCTTCACTCGCACACACACACACACACACACACATACACACACACACACACACACACACACACACACACACACACACACACACACACACACACACACACACACACACACACATATATATACATATGATATAATATTTATAACCCTTAAAATCTGAAAACTACCACCCTTTTTGTTATAAAATCATCGGTATTCGCTGTGGAAAATGGGTTCATACGGTATATAGTTGCATAGAATATACAGTTCATAATCATTATCCATACTATTGCCATTGTTATTATTTTCTCGACCAACCGCCATGACTGTTTCAGTGACTAGAGATATAAACTTACAAAGGCTATAAATGTAGTACCATTCCCAACGAAGATAGAAAATGTATCTATCTAATAATTTGTATTCTGGTATGGAAGTTATATATTCATCTATGACCAGACTAAAGCAAAAATATATTCATCTATATCTATAAATATCGATATATATGTTTCACTTACCTTAATCTAACCTATATGTTACAGTCTTTATACATAGTTATATGAAAAATATCAGTATATCTACATCAGTTCCCTTTGTTTTTACACTTTCCTTACTTTAATATTGAATTTTATCTTAACTATTTATATTGTCATATGAAAAATACAATATCTATATTATAGCTACCAATCTATATCTAATTACCTATATATAACTCACCTTATTTATAAGGTACATCAATCAATCTATATCAAATAAGCTACCTGTAATTACTTTTTTATATCTATAATTCCACTTATATTAATGATCAGTTGTCCCACCCTGTATATATATATATATATATATATATATATATATATATATATATATATATATATATATATATATATATATATATATATATGTATATATATATATATATATATATATATATATATATATATACATATACATATACATATACACACAAACACACACACAAATACGAATATATCTTTACCTAATAACCCATCTATATCGAATAACCTGTTCATATGTAATTACGTATCTATATCTAATCATCTGTTTATATCTAATCATCTGTTTATATCTAATTGCCTGTTTATAACTAATCAGCTATTTATAACTAATTACCTATTTTTATCTAATTATCTATTATCTATTAACTTTCACTTAC